CACACACACACACTTTGTTTTTTTTATATATGCTGATCTAATATGCTGATTTGGTGCTCAAGAAACATTTCTTATTACCTTAATATTATCAATTTCTGAAGGATCATGTGACACTGAAGACTGGAGTAATTGTTGCTGAAAATTCAGCTTTGAATCAAATTATTAAATTCACAATATTGCTATTTTACTGTATTTTGGTGAGCATAAGACACTTTTAAAAATATTTAAAAAATAAATAAATTCTTACCAACCCCGAAATGTTGAAAATAAAAATGTAGAGTGTTCTGTTCTGGAGAAACAGACTAAAAAACTACTGATCATGGTTCATGACTGTGACTTGAACTAAAAGCAAGCCCTTCGATATATCCCGCTCAAACTTCCTGTTTCTAAAGGAAATACCTCAAATTCATAACAGGAGTGAAAAATGCCTCTCATCATGATATTCGTGGGGTCTTCAAATACCAAACGTTTCACAACATTTATTTTTATTTCTTGTCTTCTGGTAAAACAAAGAAGAAAGGACTTTCAGAACAAACATATTTCTGGAATGTGGGCTCAATACTGGAAATGCATTGCTCAGTCTAGAACAAATATAGTATAATTGCCATTACTGTCAAGGCTTCCAACACAATACCTTCCATGCCTTCCATTCCCCACATAACAGCAGCAATACACTCTACCTCTGCTTCAAACACTAATCCAAGTACCCTTCGGAGATCAACCATGAGAAAAGTAAACATTTAATAGATTCATATTCAATAACAAGCTTTTAATGATGCTACATCTGCAGTTAAGACTGTACAGATGACCACAAACACACTGCTGCAATAACCCACAAACAACCAACATAAACATTCATAGACACCGCTTCTGCAATGTTCCACATTAAAGTTAAATGTCAAAGTCAAAAGCCATTTTATAAATGTTTTCCTTAATTTCAAGACACTGAATGGTGTGGTATCCAACTTCAGCTACCATTAACTCCATCGGCACAATATGAAATGGATGAGTGATTCCAAACATTTTCTATTGATTTTTTACCTTTATTTCGAACTAGAGAATAATATTTGTCAAATCATTACAATTTCACACTTTTGCTTAATTATTTCTCAGAGCTAGTGATGGGGTCTGATTGTCCTTTTCAGTTCCCCTGTTCTGAACAAATGATTAGGTATGGAAACTGGACGCCATTTAATTTTTATAGCATGATCCATAAATCATGTAAGTTTACTGTTGAAAATTTTGTTCTTGCACTTTATCCACATTTTCATATGTACCTACATATATAAGCAAAATATAAACAAATTCTTAGAGCATATTGTTTAAATAAACACAGTAAACCTCAATACAAACATACCTTTATTGTAAGCTTTCCTATTATTGAGTTTTGTCATTGTCTTCCTTGCAAAGTAGAAATTATGAAATAATTTAAACACAACAGAATCACACTGACATTATATTAATTATATTAATGTGGCCCCTCTGTGACCACTGTTGTTGCTTAATTTCAGAATTTTATCATCAACCTAAATATTTTTTGACAACACAAAGCAGACAAAAACAACAAATGGAAGTATGAATACAGATCTCACCACATGTCATCGCAAATCTTACGAGAAAAAAACGATAATTTTGTGGGTGGAGTGAATTATTCCGTTTCAAAACAGTCAATGTGTAATGTAATCGCCTGTTATAGTACATAATTTAAGTATTGCTACTAAAACATCAGACTGCGCGAGATAAATAAACAAAAACCTACGGGAAGTATAGTTTGTTAGGCACGAGTGAAAATACAACATTACGTGCAGCTCGTGGAAACTTCTATTTTATCACCACCTCAGCCGATGCGAAATTTCCTGAGATTTGAACATAACTGTAATGTAGTCAGGTGTTTATACCAGACAAAGCTAAGATATTTGTTATGGTGAGTTTCGGTAAAGATTCCGTTTTATCGTATGTCTTCCATAGCAGCTGTAAGAACGGAATAACCAAAAAGGCTTTACGTACATAATCTCACATTATTCTCATCAGATTTACAAACAGTAAATATTCAAATTGCTTTTAAAGACACAAAGTAACTTTTAAGGCGGAATAAAGTTGCAGGGCCTAGAGGTTGCAGCGCTTTGAGGGGCAGGAGCGAGAGGAACGCAGATCCGTGGAGCAAGTCCGCATTCCAGCGCAGGGAGAATGCGCTCACTCCTATCTCGCTTTAAATGACAAATACAACTCCCTTCCCACACTTACAGAGGATTTGCGAGCGTAAATCGAATATAGAAATCCCTAAAAACTACTAACGCCCAGCGTTAAAAAAAAAAAGTTAATAAAGTTTTGATTGACTCACCATGTGATTTTAGTGGTACCTTAATCCAAAGAACTGATTTAAACTTCGGTAAAGTTGTAGATTATGTCTGGTGTTTTGTTGCCCAGGGATCGTCTTTCGATGTCCTCTCATATAAAGCACACAGTGAAAATCATGGGATTGTCCTCCATTTTCTCGCCACTCACGGCAGAATTAGAATGCAGTACAAAGTTGGACACTTACTGCATTGTTAACATTCCAGAGGAATCACGTGAGGCAGCCATGCACGTCAGCAGCACTGCACATACCCTGGGCGGGGCTTCCTACATTTACAACGCTGAGATTCTGATCTGATGCAAGCTAGCAGATATGATCACTGGACAGGGACAATACTGGCGGATATATGTACTAGCCTTGTGTTGCTCGCATAGATATTATAACTCGTGATGGTAATTATTATTTTAAAATAGACTTGTTTTCAGATTCTTCACTGGGCTCCTCATTAATCAGGTTGTTGCATTGTGTCCTTTAATCAATCCGTCATTTTAGTCTCTAGTCCTAAAGGAAATCACAAAAATATCACACATAATTAAACCAGCCACGACAAACAAAAAGGCAGAAACAAAACACTCTGCTTACAAGATTTGACACGTTCTGATGAATGATGTAAAACAGGAACTGCATCATCAACATTATGACACATACATCACATAGAATTTTCTGCTAAAATTTATATGAAAATATGAACACATATATTTGATGTGCTAATATTGGTAAACTATATACCTTTTGCGTACCCTTTTATTTTAAATGCTGCTACGGTGTGACAAAATCATTTTTAAAAGTATAAATAAAAATTCTATGGATTCAATTAATATGAAATACTTAAATAATATATTAAGTCACTAACAAAGTAACAGCAAAATGCTGTTTAGAATAGTTTTAGATGGAGTACGGAATGTTAGAAGGTCTTGTTTTTTATGGAATAAAGAAGAAATTTATAAGAATAAAGAAGCTGAAAAGTAACAAAATACCATTTCCAATTACTCAAATTTTATGGAGATATTTTCATACATGTTATACAACAGGGTGCTACATTAGATTACAGTCGTGTTGGTGAACTTTTCACATAGGACGCATGAGTAAAATGGAAAATTCAACATAAACATCGCTTTCATAAACAATAACACAGATAAATGGAACACACAGTTAAGTGATAGTGAGGGATACAGTGCTGAAACATGTGCAATGGTCAAAATTCAGAGTGAATATATCATGCTATATGTTACTAAATGTTGATTTAACACAACAATGATCACATAGCAATGCAAATAACTAAGCTGTCATTTTGTGAGACTTACACATTACACGATAGAGTGACAAGGCAACATCAGAAGTAAAGAACAAAGTACTGCTGGGTTAATGTAAAAATATAGTGTATATCTATATAGAAGCAAAAAAATGGTATAGGCATCACAAGGACAAAGGCACTGGAACTTAAGGGCAGCTAATGTCAAAATACAACCGTCTCCGACTGAGATGCTTTCTTTAGTGCCTTGAATATTTTAAATTCTCAGCATACACGCTTCACTCTCGACAATACTAAATTAAAGTTAAACTATGGATGTAATGTCTCTATCAAACTGAAGCATCAACAAAGTCAGCCTAGAAACTAAGGAAGTTCCTTATGTAAAAACACTAGAGAGGAGATTGCCCAGTGAACTGTGCCTGATGAATATGTTTGGTATAAACTAGTCCTTAGGTTGCATAAATGTTCTAAGAAAGGTTAAGATCCTCTTTTAACAAAAATAGCTAAAATAGGGAAACAATAAAGGTGCATTCAGCCAATGTACAAATAAAAGTCGCTTTCGCAAAAGTGTGGCAAATATGAGCACTCATTCCAGGGGTGCAGCAGAAATACACAGGTTATTCAAGGCACAAGCAACCTGCACTATCTTATCAAAAGTGCTCACATTGGAAGTGTGGTCTACGACCGTAAAGGGACTCTCCACTGGTCCGGTCAACATAGAGTATCTCCTCTTGACCATGTCTATTACCTTCCCAACATGCCTGTGAACATTCGCTTTATCTGAAAGTGTGCCAACCAGTGAGAAATTTTCTCCATCCTGTCCACTCTGGCAATTTTCATAGCAATTTCTACTAGTGATTTTGAGTTCGGCTTTGCGAGCCCCCACCAAATCCTCAATGTCAAAGTCATGCTCAGCCAACACAACATCACCGGGCAGTAGCTTACAAAGGAGGCCTGAACTCTCAACAAGATTTTTGTCACTGACGTGACCCGGTGATCCCCTCGAGACAAACATGACCACACCTTGAGGAGCAACACCTATCACATATTTAAGCTCATTCACCGTGGCATGAGCTGGCACAGTCAATGCTGTAGATGCAACCTCTTGATTCACATCCACACTGACAGCTTTTTCCAGAGACACTCTAAAGCAGTCAATGATCACTGCACAGTCTGGGTATGTGCAACGCAGAGCTGCAGGAAGGTTTTTTCTGAGCTCTGCTCTGGATGGCCAAAAAACAGCAGTGGGCACGAGGGTGGTGAACATTATATTAATAATCCGATGGACAATCCTGGTCACAGTGGCAACCTTGACCCCAAAACGATAGGCCAAGTCTTGGTTCTTAAGATCAAGCCTGAGTCGCATTAACGTCAAGAGCAGTTGCTGGAATTTTGAAAGTTTTGCATTTTTGTCTCCTTTCATATGTGGCATGAGAAGCAACATAACAGTCTCAAACACAAAGTAGTTCGGCAGTCCCGTATAGAAGCGAACCTTTTCTGGATCATTTCTGAATGACGCCTCAGTGAGAGACATCTTTTCTATCGATTCCCTCAGCTCCATGTTCTCTTTCTTAAGAGCCCCAAGACTGGACTGAAAGTCAGGGGGAATGTTTTTGACTGGGCTTCCCATTTGGTTTACACTTGTCAGTGAGATTTCTTCTTCTACATCATCTTCAGTCTTATCCTCTTCATCACAGCTGCTTAATGAAGAAGAAACACTTTCTGGCTCTTCTTGACTTCTAGTCTGGCCATGGTCCTCCAAGAAACGTCCTTGTCCTTGCAGGAAGAGCAAAGCATTGGCTGCCTCCACTTGTGCCTCTTGTTTATCATACATTTCACAGGCACTTGCTTCCTTTATATTTGGTGACAGTGGCGCTGAAGTGAAAACGGAAGGAACATAGTCTGAGGATCTAGGATTTTTCACTTGTTTTCCTGTAAACAGAACAAGAATACATTTATTTCTAAATTATACAGGCCTATCCAAAAAGTAACAGAAAAAAATAGTCACACATCATTTTTACTGTCAAAAATATGCACGAAAATACAGAGCAATCAGGCACGATGAAGTATATCTTTGAGATATAAGATAATATATATATATATATATATATATATAGTGTATAAAGTAACAGAAAAAAATAGTCACACATCATTTTTACTGTCAAAAATATGCACGAAAATACAGAGCAATCGAAGTATATGAAGTATATCTTTGAGATATAAGATAATATATATATATATATATATATATATATATATATATATATATATAGTGTATAAATATATAAAGGGCTGTGTATTCTGTAGTTGCTTGTAGGAGTATTTCCTTATATATATTTATATAAGCAATCATGTCCGGAAATACTCCTAAAGGCAACTACGGAATACACAGCCCTTTATATATTTATACAGTCATCTAGTGGTTACTTCATGGTATTACATATGATTTTCTTGATTTCGTCCACCAGGTAACACCAATCTGCTATCCATGTATTGGATTTTAAACACCTTTGCTCAATTTCAACTTAAATTCTGTATTAATTGAAAATAATATAATTTTTATATAGACATAAACAGTGCGTAATTTACATTAACATTACATGTAGTCATTTAGCAGACATTTTTATCCAAAGCGACTTACAAATATTGAATACTGAATATTGAATACTGTCAAGTACCAATAAATCCCATCAAAATACAAAATATTAAAGAATAAATATTATTGAAACAAATTCTTTAGTACATTAATTTTATTAAAAATGTTGTTTGTCTTAGTTCTGTTTTGACCACAGAGGTGTGACCCCTAAGTGTGCAAAACCGAAAAATTAATTTACAGCCAAATAAGCATTGTGCAATTTTACATTTAACCCAAACCCCAAAGTATATAATAACGATGAAGTTAAAATGAAGAGGAAACACTTTCTGGCTTTCAGCCCCGTTATGGTACATCAGAAAGGAGCGTTACATACATCAAAAAAATGTTCCCCCACTCTACTAGAGATATATACATTAAACCCAGAGATGAGCATTGCTTTTAAAAGATTCCTGCTAAAACCAAGCCCATGCAATACCCATGACATCTGATTTACACATACCCGAAATGAAGTGAGTGCTGCAGAGTCTACTGCCCTCGTTTGGCACCCACCCTTCACGATTCACAGCAGCGATCCAGCGCTGCTTCCGCTCCGGGTCGCGAGGAAACCTGTAGAAGGATAATAAGGTCCCAGGAGTCCTCCTGTTCCGACAACCGGCCACTACGCACGTGTGAACCATATTAAGGCCACCAAATTTGTGGACGTATTTCTTTTTCTTCCCTAGTAATATTTACAATCTGACTCCCAAAATGGCGGTGGGGGTAGCGTAGGCGACGCGAGTGTGTCGTCATTTGACTGGCCGTCATCGGTTGGCTGTGATTGGCGCGCTGCAGTGGTGATATCATCTCACCGCGCCGCGATCACTCATTAACAGGCGCTGTGAACAGCGATTCATCACTTGTTTTCTAACAATATTGGATTAAAATGGCTGTAGAATCAAGGGTCACACAAGAGGAAATCAAAAAAGAGCCAGAAAAGCCAGTGGACAGAGAGAAGGTTTGTTTTTCGTTACTTTTGTCCTTCATTTGCTTAAATAGTCGTGCACAAACGACGCGTCTTGCAATGCTAAGCTAATTTGCAAATGTAACTAGTAAAAATTTAAGTATACAGCTTATTATACTACAATTATATGGTAATAAAATGTTTAGTTGCAACATAGAATACAAATTGTAAATTATTAATGTAAGTTTGCAGCATATAATAAAAATATTAAAAACGTCTAGTGTAGAACATATTCTAAGTTTCTGATGACGTTATATAGAGGACGCATACAGCGCACGCATTTCACATTCTCCGCAATATCAATATTGAAGACGTGTACATATTCGTCTGTGTTTCGAGGGAGACTGTTATTAAATTCTGCATGTTTCCCACAGACATGCCCTCTTCTTCTCAGAGTGTTCACCACCAACAATGGAAGGCATCATCGCATGGACGAGTTTGCCCGGGGGAATGTACCATCTAGCGAGCTTCAGATTTATACCTGGTAGGTATAAACTTTGCATTGAATTAAAGCTGAAATAAACTGTATGATCCTGAATTGTATCTGCATTGGTTACAGGATGGATGCTACTTTGAAGGAACTGACAAGCCTGGTGAAGGAAGTTTATCCGGAAGCTCGAAAGAAAGGCACACATTTTGGGTTTGCAATAGTATACCCAGACCCTAAACGACAAATCTACAGGTAATCTATACAGAAGGCTTTTTGTTCTAGCTTGATCAGTTTCGATTTGTTTTGAATAACCCATCTGGTTTTGTTGTAGGGTTAAAGAGATTGGCAATACGGTTTCGGGACGCAAAGGTGCAGATGACTCCATGACGCTTCAGTCTCAACGCTTTCAGATCGGAGATTACCTTGACATCGCAATCACTCCGCCTAACCGCGCACCACCTCTCCTAGGACGCATGAGACCCTACTAAAACGAGACTTGCCTGCATTTAAACAAATAAGGTGAATGTCTGTCTGGAAATCTGCTTTCCTGCAGAGTTTAGTTCAAACCCTGCCTGTGTTTTTCAGGCAAACCTCAATTAGGTTTGATTAGCTGGTTCGATGTTTAAGCCAGAACTAATCTCTGCAGGAAGGTTGATCTCCAGCAGCAGGATAGGGCATATCTTGAGGATTGGAGGTTATATAGATATTCTTTTTCATATATTTTGTTCTTCATGGGGGTTTTATACCAGGTCTACCTTTTTAGTTTTAGTCCTGTTACCATGATTCCCATAAAATGTTGAATAAATGTTTTTTTTTAAGTATCTTGTCTTGTGTAAACATTTATAAACTGACTTTTTTTTTTTTTTTTTTTTTTTTTTTTTTTTTTTTTGTGTAATTCTTTAGTCATCTTAATTTAGTCTCAATTTTTCAAACTAATTTGTGTAATCGGTACCATTTGCATAACCATCAATGCCATTGTTTTATTCATTCTCTTTATTAAGTATTATTTTCAAATGGTTTAAAGTGTCCTTAAAAGTTTTTGCTCTTACAATCAAATATAATTCAATAGAATCACTTTATGACCACAATCTGCTGTTCTCCTCTTGGTTCCACTTTTTGAAAGCCAGGCTTCATGGTCATCAGCTCAGATTCAGTAGTAAGTGCTTAAGACTTGCACTGAGCCACAAGCTAAAAGAGGAGAAATATATATATTTTAACAACCATATTATCTTCTATTATTTTCTTTCTTTGGCATAAGTCAATATTTGCAATATTGCCATTTCAGCATTACAAGGTAGTGACTCACTTTTAAAATATCCTGAGTGACTGAACTTATATCGGGCATCTCTGGTGTGCATGGCTCTGCAGCGAACTTCATTCTGACTTTTGGCGTTGCAAGGCACCAATCCTGGTTGGAGCTGTTTTCATGCATTGGGACAGGGGTCTGCTTCAGGTCTAACACGTGATCTGCCCCCATCTTCATCCCAGAAGCATCACTAGATGCATTTTTCTATTCAGAGTTAAAGGAAGGGCATCTCAAGAGCATCTCAATAAATTAAACTATACACCAAAGGTTTAGCATCAAATCTAGGGTATAATACAATTTGAATGATTAAAATATCAAAATATGATTACTTACGAAAGCAAGAGAACTCCCAAAAAGGGACTGCAGAGACGGCATCTCAGGTATGGCCTCATCCTCATAACGTAGCAGTTTTGGCATCTCTGGAGCATCAAATGAAGGAGCTCTGTTTGTGTTTGAGAGATCTGCTAGGGGAAAGCTGCCCTCCTGTGATGCCCTGTGTCTATCGCTTTCTTCCTGCCTGTCGTCCTTTGAAACGGTAATTGCAGTGAATGAGAGAAACCATTACACATTTTAAATGCTATTATATGTGATTATGGTTTAATGTAATACTAGTCATGTCTATTGTGGTAGATTTTTACATGTTAGTAACTAAAGTAATGAGTTAAGGAGCGCATCATACCTTTTTTATAAGCTTGCTGACAAAAGGAGTTTCAAATGCAGGGAGCTCTGGTGTAGAAGGGCAGTTATTAGGGCGAGGAGGAGAATCAAGGTCATTCTTTCCTTTCAGTGGTGGAGAGGATGGGACACGGTGTTTCTCAATCTTAAATCCTGGGGTGCAAAACACAGGAGGCTCTGGGGATTCCAGACTCTCTGGAATATTTAAACAACAATGCAAATCAAAAAAGGGAAGCTTGGAGAAAAAAAAAACAATAATGCATTTTTTGTAACATATTAACGCACAAATGTAACCACACATTCAGGGTTACAGGAACTAAATGTTATACTGTTAAGAAACAATTATTTAAAACTCCAAACAGGTTGATAACTATTCATAATATTAAGAAAACAACTGTCGATATTATTTACCGTTGGCAACACCTTTGTTAGGCCCAGAAGACAAAGTGGGGAAAACATGAGAGGGTTTCTGACCATTCTCTGTTCTTTCACTGTGAAAGACCCAACACACATATTATGTGCTAAATATACATACATACATTAAAAATAATTAATCAGCAAGCATGCATTAAATTGACAGTAAAACATTTATAATGTTACAAAAGTTCTGAAGAATAAATGTTTCTTGAGCACCAAAACAGTATATTAGAATGATTTCTGAAGGATCATGTGACACTAGACCAGAATAATGCATGCTGAAAATTCAGCTTTGCCATAAACAGGAATAAATTAATAAATTAAATTCAACTAAATTCACAACATTACTGTTTTCACTGTATCTTTGATCAAATAAATGCAGTCTCGGTGAGTGTAAAAGTATTTTCATGTGGAGATCTGTTAGATTACATTTCAAATAATATAACTTCACTTTCAAAAATAAGTGCAGAATGTCAGTAGTAAAGTCTCTTACTGTTTTGTGTAAGCAGCAGCATTAAATTGATCTTATTAGACTCAATTTTGTTAATTAAAAAAATTCAAAGCATGTTTGGAAAGTGGCATATTTAGTCTTTTCCGAAGCAAAGCATGCTTGTGATGTGATATTCACACCCAGACATAGTAAGCGGCATACCTGCTGGTCTTTGGTGGTTTCTTGTTGAACAAATCCATGGTAAAGTCATTGTTCCAGCACATGGTGTACTCAGAGATGCCAAAGTCCTCTAGTCGTGGGGTCGGAGCATCCTCCTCCATACGCAGAGAGCACTTGGGCGTCTTTGGCTGCGGTGGATGCATGTTCATGACAAATGGTGGTGGTGACAGAGCCACAGCTGGGACAGGAGCGGCACTGTGGGGCGGCTCTGCTTCACCAAGCACTCTTTGGAACTGGAGTGCAGACAGACCAAAATCGGAGAGCTTTGGGGTCCGCAGCTGGTCAACGGGTGGCTGCATCTTCTCTGGTGTCTCAGGCTGCTGAGCCTCTTCACAAATCCCTTGTCCCATCACTTCATCTTCATCTGCTGCATCCAACTTTTCTGCATCTTTTGTACCATTCATCTCTAGAATAGTGAGCGAATAAAAAACATTTCCACTGAAATAAGCATCAATCTTAGCAAAGCCTAAACTTAAAACAAAGTCTATTTTAATCTTCAATTAGAGACAATAAATACAAAAGCCAAGCAGAAGCAGCAGGATGTTAACATTCCCAAATGTATTAAACATTTACCTGCATTTCCCTGTCTTGCTGTTCGTGGTCTGTACCCATACTTCTCATAGTGTTTCTTCAGCCTGTCAATGTCTTCTGTGGTTCTCTGCTTCAGCACCAAGCATCTACTTACAAAGTTCCTCAGTTCAGTACTTGCTGCATCATGTGTAGCCACCTGATTTTGAACTTCCCGCTGCACATGATTTTGTGTTAAATGAAGCCCATATTTAAAAATAAAGTGAAATCATGAACCATAACTAAACATACACATACCTTCAATGCTCTGACTTCAGAGTGCAGCTGGTACAGAGCTTGAGCCCCATTCTCTTCATCCTCTGAATAACACAGATCACATACACCAGTCAACGGATGCATACTTATGACCTGATCATTTTATTAGCAACTTTAAAATATTTCCTGGCAACTTACCATCGTCGTCTTGAGGGTTCTGACTTGCGTGAAGGAGATTGTTGCTTTCAGTCTCCAGATAAACAGTCAGTTTCCGCAGCTTTGCAAAGAAACGCTCTGAAGGATTCATTCTCAACGTCCCTCCTGTTTCACAAGCTGAAATGACAGTAAGTAATTAGTAATAATAAGAAAATCTAATATTATATTATTACATATGATATTACCATAATAATATACAAGCATAATACTTGTAATCCTTCTTTTCTACAGCCATATAAACAATCAACTGTAAATGTTTCGGACTGTTCAGCTGAACGTATATGGAAAGTGTACAATAACAAGTAAATTATCACAATAACAAAAACGATAAAGATACTGTCTTGAGCACATTCAGTTCAGCATAAAATCGCATAATACCTTAACAAAGTTACTGTGGTTTTATCAATAGAACTCAGACAACGACATACAAATATCTCTGAACTCTTCTTTCAAATTTCGCGGCACATCCGGGTTCGTTTTGTCTGACTCGTTAGACTTGACGCACATCCAAACACCGTTTGGCTCATTACTGCCACTTGTCGTTCTGTGCAGTCATTTCGTGCTCGGTGGTTTTCCAGTCCTTGACCAACGTTTATGTCTTGCAAGATTCCGAAAGAAGAATTGGTTTCAGCATATTAATTAATTTATTTATTTTGCCCTTGTGTTTAACAGATCTCTGTGTTTAGTGACAATGTTCACCTTTAGAATCTGTCTAAAACAATTTTTAAAATATTACCCAAATACAAACAATTAAGTTAGGCTACGTTTCCGTCTGATTTTATTAACCAAATTAAATAAAACTTGAATAATAAATACAAAAGTTAAAAAAAGATAAATAGAGTTCAAATTAAAGGACTGAACATTAAAAACTCGTTTTCATGTCAGAGTAGAGACAGTGTTTAAGTTTCCCTAAACTTTGACTGGCCTATTTGTTTCTCTAAATCTGCAAGAGTATCTTATCAACATATGTGACTAATGAAACGTTCTCTTTGAAGGCCTACAGAGAATGGGAATTAACTCATTTCCGAATGTGAATTAACTCATGGACAGCTAAGAGGAAACACTGTTATCAAACTCCTGTCACTGTTGATTTACACTGATTTACAGCATAGGCCTAAATTTAAACATGGTCACATATTACCCTTGAAAATAAAGAAGAACAGTGCATTTTTTTGTATTGAGAGGAAAAAAAACGTTGTGTGATCTTCACAAAACGTTTTCAGAAGAAAAAACAAGAACAAACTTCACTGTTTATTCAGGAATATTTTTATTAACATCTTTTTAAAATGTGACTTTTATAAACATTAGACTTTTTTAAAACAGAGCTACAATTATCTCTACAATCTATGGCTCATTTTATGAAACAGCAAATTTTACCCTTTCCCCCCCAAAATAAAATTAAAAAAATGTAAATTATGGTGAGTTTTTCCTAGGCCCCGACAGAATTTGTACATCCTCTGTGCTGATTTCTGGAAATAATCGGCTGACTTTTGTGGGACATATTTAACGTAAAATTGAATTTGAAAGCACTAACATATTGGCCAAAACATTAAACATATTTTCTGTTTTAAACAAGGCTTCTCTGATAGATACCTACAGTGAAGACCTGGTCAGATAAAATGAATGCCCTCTACAGGAAAATGAAGGCCACCAGTGGGTGCTGTTCTGGATACTTCAGAGGAAGACGCTAAGAGGCAGACCCTGGAGGTGCAGACAAGCAGAAACCTACTAGAGGAGCAAGCGGCAGAGGTCCTAACAACATGACATTGTGACTGGTTATGCTTATCTGTGAGCTGTGCATCCTCCTGTGGGCACTTGGAAAGTAGTAAAGCAGCGGAGGCCAGGAGGGAGTAGAGGGGCTGGAGAAAGTGACATACAGACAGTCTAAAATCATCCTATCAGTATTCTCAGAGGAATCCCATTCCAATGCGGTTGCGAAGTCATGCCTTATTTGCTATACAAAGTCCATTTTCCGACAGCTTGTTATACACTGTAGAAAAGGGAATACTTAAGCCCACATCCACCAGCTGGAACAGAATATTCCAAAACCACATCTGGAAATCTATGCCAATATAGAGGAAGGCAAATCAAAAGCAGGCAAAGTGCATGCTTAGGAAGCTGCAGGAGGGGCTTGATGCAAGTGTAGCCATCTACCAATTAAAATAGAGATGCAAAATCGAGATCAAAATGATTTAAGCTCTTGCATCCTTAATTATCCTTATTATGTAGTGTGTTATATTTTTAAAAATATTTTTTTCCTATCTTACCTAACATAACTTTTAAAGTGTATATAATAAACACTACCATTCAAAAGTTTGGGGTAAGTTAGATTTAAAAAAAATAAATGTATACATTTATAATTCAAAAGTACTAGTACATAACTAGCTAGTAAAGAAGAAAATATTTAGAATGTAACAACATCTCTATTTAAAAAAAAAAAAGGCTTTCCTTCATTAAAGAATCTTGAAAAGATATATCATGGTTTCCAGTAAAACTGTTAAATCAACTAAGTTGTGCTCCAAACTGTGTCATGGATAGAACTAAAACTTACTTTCTCAACATAACAAAATGTCTTTATCCTGTTGAAATGTCTCCAGGTCCCTCCTGATGTCTGGATAGTCCTTCAGAACAGAATGAAAAGAGTCCACCGACAAGGAAAAAAGCTGACAGACAGTCAGAGCTTGTACTGTGGCCAAACGCCTTCCTTTTGATAGGAGACATGACTCTGGAAAAGGGAAGGAAAGACATTATTTAAAGGGATGGTTCACCCAAAAATGAAAATTCTGTCAGCCATTGACTTGATTTGTATCTTTCCATACTGTGGAAGTCAATGGCTACCGTCAAATGATGCGTTACACATATTCTTCAAAATATCTTCTTTTGTGTTCAACAGAAGAAAGAAACTCAAACAGGTTTGAAACAACTTGAAGGTGAGTAAATAATGACAGAATTTTTGGGTGAACTATCCCTTTAACACAGCTTACTAATAAATTGTATTACAAACAACACAGGCTACTGCACATAGTCTAAACAGACACTGCATTGACAAAGCAATGTGACTCGAGTCAAACCTCCAAAGCAGTCTCCATCACACAGTTCCCTCTGGAAAAACTCATTCTCCACAAGGACCTGCCCATGCTCGATGAAGAACAAGCGGTCACCAGGAGTGTTCTGGCGGATGATGATGTCACCCTCCTGGTACACCTCATACTGCAGCTCCAGAAGAACGGCATTGATGAAGTTTATATCACAGTTCCGGAAAAGGGGAACTTTTCTCACATGGGCCGAGCACATGGTCATCAGAATTTCCTAACAAATCCATCCGAATAATCAATAAACTATAAAAATACTGCATTACTGTTAAAAACAAGAGCCAAACATCTTTTAAATAATCGTTTCTGTGACTATTTCAACAGTGAGCAGTACCTCTCTGAGAGATGAAGACACCCACTTCAGGACATCCTTCTCATCATACCATTTTCCTGCGTAACGAGCCTGAAAGAAGTCGTTGATGCGCATACGAAGGGCTTTGGGAAGCTTCAGGAAAGTCATATAATCTTCCATATGATTCATCTATGTAAAAACAAACACACAAGGGAACAGAAAACGTGAATGACACCCCCCAAAAAATAGAATATGCTGTTTTAGCAATATAATTGTTTTCCTTGCACCTTGTTCTTGTACGCTCTTGCTGTTATGTCCACATCAGTCATCATTGCAGCAGTGTTGGCGACCATCACTGTGTACATGAGGGCTCCAGACACAATGCTAGTCATGACAATCCAAAGCTCAACCTCATCTAAAAAAACAAAAATCAGGTATTAAAAGAAGTATCAGTTGTGCATTGTGATTGTTGTGGTATAAAATTAACATTTGGCTAAATCAGCTGATCAAAAGTATACTCCTTGCTTGTGGGTGTTTCAGAGGAACCGTATGATATTGCAGTCATATGAGAGAGGGCCCGAAAGACTCCAAAAGAGTACTTCTCTCCCACTGTGGCATTCTGACAAATTACATAAGACAAAGCATTGACATTAATACTATATTTTATACATTAAAACCATAAAACAACAAATATTACACATTTTCTGTAATACAGTCTCAGAAAAAAGGCACAAAAGTTGTCAATAGGGCACTACCTTTTGAAAAGGTACACTTTGTATTTTATTGACCCCTAAAGGGTGCATATTGCTACCTTAAAGGTACATATTAGTCCATATATGGTACATATGAGTACATTTTGGACCTTTTTTCTAAAAGTGTAATTAATTCTAATAGGTTAAATGTAGTATCACAGAGAAGACTATTAATAGGACTGAAAATGACCTACGAGGATTTCAGTATTATTAATGCTGTAATATTGTTACAATGCTCAGCTTCAGAATAATATATAGGTAAGATGTCAGACTACCGTCTAGAGCATATCTAATATATATATATATTTACTATTAAAGTTTTCATGACTGTATAAAATATTATTCATTTCAATTATATTTACAGGCCTTGCAAGTACAGTTTTCAAATTTAATGACATAAATGTGGTAATGCTGTTTATGTGAATATGCTGCTCACACACTTACCATTAGATTCTCTCTTCTAACCCAGCAGTCTGAGGGAAACTCCTCAAGCATAGGCACAAAATATTGAATACAGCCATTCCAGTGGCACAGCAGGAAAATCATCATAAATAATGACAAGATTCTTAGGAACACCCTCACCACCTCCAAGTTGGCATTTGAAACCTATTTGGGCAGAGATTCAATATAAAAATCAAAAGCATTATTCCAAGAATTTTTCTGAATGATGACAAAACTGATAGTCAGTGTTGTCTCATTAAGATAAGGATAGTTTCACGTTCAAGCAATTCATTACTTACTCTCTCCACCTCATTAATAAACCTAACGAGCCTTGACACACGCAACAGGCGGACAAGACTGAGGATTCTCACAAACATCAAGATGCGCATCATTTTGCTGGCTCTGGATGAGGCAGAGTCACCGTGGTATTGTAGGTCCTATCATGACAATGGCACAAAACATTTTTTCCATTTGGAGCTTTGTAATTTCAATACAGTCAAAAGATTTAGCAGAAAAAGGCACATTACCGCAATAAGTAGTATGTAACCAACTGGGAATGCTGCCACCATATCAGGTATAAACCAGCTTTTTAAATACTGTTGTCGAATGCTTTTCAAATCCAGAATGGCTCCCTGTGTAACATACAGAAAGATTAATTGCAGAAGTTTAAGCAATGTGATATTTGTGATGTCTAGAGCTAATCCTTACCTCACTGTCCTCATTAATGATCCCCATGCGAAAGTTAAGCCCCACGTCAATCAGGAACAGAGTGTCCGAGAACACATTAAAACCCTCCCAACCTACTCCACTGTTGCCATCTAGAAAGGCAATCTCCATTGGAATGCCAATTAGATTGAGAAATGTTATGGCCACCATACACATGATGTAATGACTCCTGCATAAATAAGGACATGAGTTGGACAAATTTTTAAAAGGTGGCATTTCTGCATGACAGTCCTTTTCAAAATGCATTAGTATTTTTCTATTTTATTTTATAACATATATTTTTTTTTATTTCCTTTTTTAGTTACTATTGTATTCCATTTCTATTTCTATTTTTAATTTAATTTTGTTTATTATTTTAATTAAAAGGTATAAAATATTTTTATTTTATAAAATATATATATATATATTTTTTAAATCTACTAAATAAAAACACCAAGACAGATTACAGTACCTTAAACGACTGAAGGGATGGATGACCAACACACCTCCCTCTTTCTGTCTAACGCACTCCTTCTCCACAGCCACTTCACTGCCGTAGACATACAGCGAGCGTCTGTTCAGCTGCGGCAGCAGGAGGTTTTTCCACTCGCTCAAACGGAAGCGGCTGTGATTCTCAGGTGTGAGACGCTGCATTTCCAGGCCCTGACTAAGCACTGTGATCACCAAAGCACCTCTAACATCTCTCACCGTGCCTCTCTGACAACTTTATTTCTGGACTTTCTTTTATGCTGACCATTTAATCCACTTTTCTTCTTCGTCTTCACGCTCGCTCTCTTGCTTTCTCTCTGTCTCTCTCTCTCTCTCTCTCTCTCTCATGCGTGCACATGCACAGCCGCAGAGTAATTTTCCATCACAGTGCATCACAGAATGGAGAAAGAGATAAGTTCCAGACTTTCCATTCTTTCCCCTCTGTCAAACTAAACTATTGTCTCATCAACTATTCAGTATCTCTGCCTCGCGCTCACATCAGCTCAGCTCATCTGGACTGCGGGGCGGTTCTTTGACTTTGACACAAGGTGGTTTTGAATATCACAACCATTGTCATCTGAACTAGACAGATGGTTCTGATAGAACCGGACCCAAGGCTGACAATGGGAGGTGATAGAATTACTTACGCTCTTATTGTGCGTAAATGACTGTACTGATATGACAAAGAGATTCTTTCTAATGAACACACAAGAGTGCTCAGATAATTTTGCTATTTCAGAAAGAGACAGAATACAGGTATCTATTTTTGCAGGCAAAGCCGATTTGGGAGAAATCAGAGTTTAACCTATGTTTCTTAGGTGCAGCTGGTGAAACTGGTCTGTGTTTTCATTGTGGATGTGTTTACATCAAAAACAGAACCTGCAGCTTATGGTGGAGCTCACTAGATCTCCAGTAAACTGAATACAGTATTATGTTGTATTGGCAGACTATGTTTATGAGAGTCACAATAGAGTGTTGAATTTCAAAGTGGTATTCAAGTAATATAACATGTAACTGATCGTATGTTCTCAGAAGGCAACAAATCCCTAAATTGCATTCATTCATTCATTGTAATCTACATATCACATTGCATTCAGTTATCAAGTGGGTGACTGGTCACTGGTTTTATTAACACGCTTGTCTGTGAAGCTTCTAGTAGTTAAAATACTAAAATGATGCTTCCATGCAACAATTTAATCTTATATAAAATTATATATTTAACTACTCTCTCTCTCTCTCTCTCTCTCTCTCTCTCTATATATATATACATATATATATATATATATATATGTATGTATGTATGTATGTATGTATGTGTCTCATACCTAACATGACACATGAACTGTACACAAGAATAATAAATATACTTTTATATTTATTATATTAATAACCAACTGCACATATATTTAAAATATATATTTAACTATTATACATATATTGTATGTGTGTGTGTGTGTGTGTGTGTGTGTGCGCCTAACACATGACACATAAATTCTGAAATCATTGTGTTTAAAAATGTACATAAGCACTGCAATAGTTTTCTGATTAATACATTCTTGACAAATTATGTGTAATTAATTGGACACAGCACTTTCTGAATTCATGTATGAGATACAACACAACTTACAAACAAACAAATATATACTAAAACCCCAGTAGAAATGCCTGGGGGAGTCCATGCTGAGTTGGCATTCTGTGTTGGCCTACAAATTGACGTCATGACTGAAATGTTCTATTTTTGCCGCTCATAGCATGCTGAACATAGCAGAAAATGCAGGGAAAAGGCACTATAAACATTTATCAAAACAATATTTTGCAATATAAGCTGTTGGCCAGTGTTTGAAAAAAAGAATGTGTCAGACATGATGTAAGTTGCACACACAGTGACAGGCACACAAGACAGCATTGTTTTAGCTTCTTTGGGGTTTGGGTTCTGTTTCAGGTAGACTGATTATCATTTAGATCTAACCATTATTCCCGTCCTTGTTTAAATTAGTTTTTAATTACAATAAGTCTGTCCTCAAAAGCTCACTTATGACAACCATTTTTAAATTTATGGTGATAATCATAGGAAATACTCAATGTAGTAACCCTGAAAGCACTTTATTTTCTGTAGAGAGATGTAACTCTGTTACACATCAGAAGCAAGGTCAACATGAAAGCTATATGTGCCATTGTTGCACTTGTTTTGGAGATCCACTTATGTGCTGAATATGTGTAGAGTATGGGGTCTAGTATATTTTAAGCAGTTCTTGAAAAAAGCATAGATATCGCAGTTGTCCTGAATAAACATGGATCACACACAGAATTCTCACTTCTCAAAAAAAAAAAAATATTATCATTAATATCAGAAGTCATCTGTGAAGTAAGTATAGTTGTATAGTTATGTGAATTTGCCTGCGAATACCTACTCAGAAAAAACATTGTTCATAATACTCATCTGGCATAAATTGCAAACACATGATTATGTTTGACAATATGATGTTATGAGACAATATGATAACCATTAAAAGTGTAATTTAAATTATATTAAAATATGTATTAAAAATAATACACTGAAATGTTAGCTAATGATAACAAATATTATGATAATATAAATAATATTAATAACCTAAACTTTTAAATGACTTCTATTCTGTACAAGACTTTTATTTTATTTTATTGTTCGGCATGTTGTTATGACCTGATTTTAGATTGAATCGCGTTTCGTTTACCTTTAGCCATTAACCTGTGTGAATGTAAATCAGATTTGTAATAAATGGCTGTAGCTTAGTTGTTAATTTTGTTGTTTTTGTTTAAAGGCATTGACCCGGAAGCTACGCGACACTTCCGCGGGGTTGTCCTGTTTTTTGACAGCTGCAGGTTCAAGGTTGTGTAATGAAGGACGCAAGTGAGCACATCAGTCTCTACATCATATAGAGTGAGTAAATTTGATATTTTATTTTATTTTATTTGAGATTACCTGACACCACGATCTGAATATCTTTTACATCCGATAAGATACAGGCGAGGTATGGACGGCTGGATTTTAGTATATTAACGAAACGATGAAGAGCAGAGAATATGATGTAACTAACGTAGTGAAATGGTGGCTAGTTTGCTGCACTCTGCTGGCTGTGCAAAATGTAGGCTAATGTTGAAACGGAAGTATAGAGCTGATAAATGTCCCATGCTCTTTTGTTTTCTCAGACAGCGTTTGTAAGTGGAAATGTCGAGCCTGTCAGCAGCCAGTGTGGAGACTTCACCAGCAACAGAGGGGGCAGAGCAGAAGAAACCTCTCAAACCATGCTGTGCGTGTCCTGAGACCAAAAAAGCACGAGATGCATGGTGAGGAGACTTTTAGCTATTAGTTAACTTCTGCTTTAAAGGGGTCATATGATGCTGCTAAAAATAACATTATTTGGTGTATTTGGTGTAATGAAATGTGTTTATGCGGTTTAAAGTAAAAAAAAACACATTATTTACCACATACTGTACATTATTGTTTCTCCTCTATGCCCCGCCTTTTTGAAAAGCGTCGATTTTTACAAAGCTCATCGGTCTGAAAAAGCGAGGTGTGCTGTGTGCCGTGTCCCAGCCCGAGCGACGAGACAAAAACATTAAAACCCATTATAAACGAGTATGCAAATCTTCCCACATAGTGAGGTAGATATGTGGGGGCGTGTTACAACGAGCCATTTTAGGTAGGTGTGGCTGACTCTTAACTTTTATAAAGAGTATCCCTTTGGATTTGAGACTTTAGTCTTTGCAACTTTACAGATCTTCTTTATGCACCAAGAGCTTGTAACACTCCAAAGAGAAAGGAAAAATTTAAATCGCATCATATGACCCCTTTAAAGGGATATTTTTGCACATAAATTAAATTCTGTTATGTAATTTATTTCATGTTTTCCCAAACCAGCATAACTTACATTCTTCTGTGAAGCACAAAATAATTTTTAAAGTACTGAACTGCTCAATGAGGCTTTAACGGATGCAAATCCCCATAAAAGTAGTCTGTATCACTTGTAAAACTACTCTGATTACTGTTGAACTAGTATTAGAGTTGTATTGTGGCATGCGCAGTTCTTCAAATTTCTCTTTGTGTGTTCTATCAAGCTGGTTTGGAGCAACATGAGGGTTAGTAAATAATAGTGCTGTCAAACGATTAATCGCATACAAAAAAGTTTTTGTTTGCATAATATATGTGCGTGTTCTGTGTATATTTATTATGTATATACTGTATAAATACACATACAGTATATATTTTGAAAATATTTACATGTCTATATTCATATAATGTATATTATAAATAAATATATTTAATATATAAACATAACATATTTTTCTGAAATATATACATGCATGTGTGCATTTATATATACTGTATATATATATATATATACATTATAAATATACACAGCACACATACATATATTATGTAAACAAAAGCTTTTATTTTGGAATGCGATTAATCGTTTGACAGCACTAGTAAATAATGACACAATTTTTATTTTTGATTAAACTCACCCTATACATTTTAGCAAGATACCATGACACAATACTGTCTTCATTGCAGCATAATTGAAAAGGGAGAAGAAAGCTGCACAGACCTCATCGAAGCGCACAAGGAGTGCATGAGGGCACTTGGTTTTAAGATATAATACTACCATCATCATCAGATTGAGTGAATGGTAAGTGTCACAAAAATGACTAATCTCTTACAAAGAATATCCTTAGTGATATTTCGCACATTTTATTTTCCACACCTTGGGCACCACAAACTTGAATTTTATTAATGCAATTTTCAGATATCTCCGTGCACTGTAGATTTAATTAAAAGTAACAGTTCACCTCAAAATGGTCATTTTTGCTTCCACATGTCTTCTGCATGACTGACTTTCTTCTGTGGAGTTATTTATAGCATATAGACAAGCTGTTCTCTTCCATACAATAAAAGTGAATGGTGTCCACAGCTGTCATTTAGGGCTGTTCCTTACAAAAAGCAATAGCTTCAGAAGACTCTGAATATAGTGCATAAGTCATAAGGACTACTTTTTTGGAGCTTGTCAGCCCCTGATCCTCATGATGTTGTATGAAACAGAGCAGCTCCGATATTCTGCTAAAACTCTCCATTGGTAAATAATGCTAAAACTTCCATATTTGAACTCCCTTTATATATTGTTTTAAATAAATCTATTCCTTTAAATTAAAAAAAAATCTTCTGTATATTATTTTTTGAGGACATTTGTGTTTATTTAACGATTATTTAAAGTTATAATGTTTTCTATTTGTCTTTTCTTTCTTTTTGTAGTGAATGGCAACCTGTGTGAAATGGGACCCGGTGTGCTCGTTTATTTATATTTTTTACACTGCAGGGAAGATTATACAGGGCTGAATTTATTCCTCTAAGTTAAATGTCTGTCTTTTCTTTCTCTTTCTTTCATATGTGATACATTTATGGTCAATAAAGATCCTATGCAAGATGTTAAGCCATTCTCTTTTCTTGTGTCTTCACTTCTTATTTGTATGCAATAAGCAGAGATTCTTATAACAAGGCTGGCTTTCTCTTTTTACAGCCTACTTTAAATTATTCAGTCTAATCATTATGTATCACATGCTTGATTTACTTATTTATCACATATTAAATTATTTATGAAGTAGTGTCTGTTGACACACTGTAGGCCAAGCAGTTTTACACAAACAGACTGTCCCTTCAAGCTTCCTACTCGGTTGGCTTTCGAATTCCCTGTATCAGCGTTGGGCTGGTGACAGCTGCACTTAACTATGCAGGCCTAAAATAGAGCTGCTGCTCCCAGCACACTCTAATCTGAGGTCTACCCGCAGAAGCGCTTTTATTCTGTATCTACACCTGGTGTGAACCCAGCAAAAGCAATTCATAATTAGCATTTTCTCCTTTAGTTTGGTCCCTATAGTTTGTCCCTGACACAAACACAAGAACAGATTGCCTATTTAGCTTGTTTCACTATTCCTGCTTATAATTACCTTATACATTTTGATGTTCAATTCATTAAATACAAATGCAAATGCATAATTGATATTTTTCATATATTAAATGTCAATAGTTTTTTTCTGGTTTATTTCTGTCATTCAAACTGCTTTGATGGTGCTTTACTTCAATGAGAATGTGCACACAGTACGTGAGTGAGAACATTTCTATCGGCATGCCTCTCTTGCAGGGTACATGTCAAATTGACAGCTCTGAATAGTAACTTTAACACTCTCTTATCATCTATAACAGCTAGTTAAGCTGCACAAGATATCCAGTGTATATTGACTGTGCATTTCAGTTATGTTTCCATCTATATAAGCTGTCATGATTAAGAGGTAAAACAAATGGATCTATTAATCACACCACAAAGCAATTTGTCATTGCAATGTAGTTCAATAGAGCATTCCATTTGTGCTAAAACACCACATATCACTGCGCAGCTCTCAAAGTGGATTGTTATTTTTCTCAAAAGGGTCTGGCTGCAGCTTGGCGCTTGCACTCTCAGACACTTGCACTTCCGCTAGCGACGTCACTTGCAGTCTTTTTTATTTTTTATTTTGTTCTATTTATTGATTACTTTTTGTTTGAATCTCTCAACATTTTACAACAGTATAGCCAGGTGGTGAAGACAAGAAAAAAGAAACTAAATTACAAAGTCACTTGCAATCGCCACTTGCACTCTCCGCTACCTGCGACGTCACTTGCAATCGACACAAATCGTGCGTGTTGCCAATGGACTGAGAATGCACGTCTGAGAGTGCAAGCGCCAAGCTGCAGCCAGACCCTTCTCATTTTTCTTGCATAATTCCCACAATCTGTAATTCAGATGTCTTATATCAAAATAATGCAGTTCCTCATCTACCCTAGCTTTGGTGAATGAATAGACCTGCTCTCACTAACCTTAAATTATCCAAACCTCACAATATGGAAAGCCCCTGTCCTTAAATTACATCAATTTTCCTCAAACAAAGACTTAGTTTTTCTATTTTTCCAGTGATGAAGATAAGAAATTAAGAACAAAATATTTAACATTTTCAGCACCACCAAAAGCGAAGGAAGTTCATTTTCAAATTCTTAATCGAGTATATAACCTTCTGTGGAATTTTTAGGACTTTAATTTGGTTTCGATCATAACAACTGGTCATTTTATGATGAACGTATTGAAAAACTGAGCATTTATTTATTTATTTAAATATGCATTTGCTGGTGCCTTATTTACCAATTTTACGGTTTATCTAAATTAACACAATCTTTGTTCTTTGGTATATTTATAAAAGATGGAACATGCAACTTAGCAATTACTATAATTATTATTCTTGGAAATGTATTTTTACATAAGAATAGATGCCTGAAAACAACCAAATTTCTGTATTCTTATAAGAATGGCAATTAATGAATTAATGTTATAAAATAAGAGTTAATTACCATTTGTCCTTAGTATTTTGATATTTATGGAGTAACTAAGCAATGGCCACTGAAGAACATGCTGTATTGTGAATATGCTGTCATGCCTAACAACGCCAGTTGGCATTTTCCACAACAATACAACAATATTCTCATAACTTCTGCTTAAATAATAAAATAAACAGAATCCACTCACTCTTGCACTCCACTGCTAAGCAGCAGAATATTAACTACCAACAACTGCTGGGCCAAGTTATGTGAAACTACAAAAAGGAATGGCCAGGGAGGGGAGGTAAACAGTGTTACATGACCTCCCCTGTTATTTTATCTGTCTCAGATTCTCTAAATATGCCCCCCATAGCCTAGTATCCTCCTCCCCTCAAACACCATTAGAAGAGCTGGAATACAAATTGTCTGTTTGATTGTGAGAAAATGAGTGTTGGTGACATCTGGCAGAGCTTTCAAAGATCTTCACAGACGTCAGTGCATGTCACTTGTTATCGTAATCACTCTGCCCGGCCATCATTGTGTTATGTTAAGTAGCGAGTCTGTTTTCTGTCTGTGGCTCTTTCCTCCTTGGGTTTCAATTCCAAACATGGTTATCCTTTTCAGGGTCTCTACCCCCGCCTCTCCAGCTCCATGTTTCCAACAGTCCAGTGCAGGACAGGGAACAGAAGCAGAGACGCTATAGGGCTGATATTGTCAAATTCGAAAGGAAAAGTGGGTGTCAACGGAACTGAATGGAATGGAATTATGAAGCTTCTTTCATTCCAACTATTTTTTGGCAGAAAGAGGTGTATTGGCTGTTAGAGGCTGAGGGGAACAATCTTTTTTCATATATATCTGACATTAGTTTTATATTTTTAACAAACTTTTAACACCTTGGGCTTATGAACCACTACTTTTTCCAACAAGGCTCTTTTTTTATATTCAGTTTCCATTGAATTGAAGACCACATAGCCATAAATATGAATAGTGGCGACTCTACCTTGATTGACTCTATAATTTTCAATCACACTCTCTGCGATGGATGGACCAACAGCACCGAAGGTGCCATCTACCATCTGGGTAACACCATTCTTTTTTTGGGCTATATGGGTGGTAGTGGAGCATATGGGGCTCTGTACATCTTCAGCTTTTTGGCTCCCGCTTTCCTCTGTCTGGCTCTGTGGGGCTGGTTGACAGTGTGTGGCCTTGATGTTTTTCTCTGGAACTTGCTGCTGATCCTGCAGTGTTTGGCCCAGGTGTGTCATCTGATTTTTCGGCTGATGCAGGACGGTTTAGCTAACGAGGAGCTTTCTGCGCTTTACACAGCAGCCTATCTGCCTCTGGATGTACCTGTGCAGGTGTTTAAGGAGATTACGGCTGCCAGTGAGAACAAAGCGCTCTTTCTAGCAGCTGAGGAGACGTATGCTGTCGAGGGGAAGACACCCATTGATCAGCTGTCTTTTCTTCTTTCTGGCAGGTGAGAAACAGAATGTTTGGCAGAGTTGTATACTCTCATACAGTTCTCCGGATTAGTGATTGATCTTGAACTAGTAGTTTTAAAACTATTATTACTGTAAAAACTCGCACTAAATATCTGCTTATTTTCCTGAAGGTGTACTTAATGTTTGCAGTAGCTCGCAATACTAAGACAACATTCTCAGTTGTATAGTGTAATAATTAACATGAAAAAATATTTTGTGGGTCAATGTTTTTTTTTACCTATCTATTGATTAATTAAAAAAAAAAAGTAAAAATGTGATTAATGTATACAGTCCATTAAAATTACAATGGTAGTAGTAGTTGGGGCATAATAGGAAAGGAAAGGACATGACTTGTGGCGTCCCATACTTGGAATTTGTGCTCAGCATTTAACCCATCCAAGTGCACACACACAGCAGTAGTGAACAAACACGCGCACACACACACACACACACACACACACACACCATGAACACACACCCAGAAGCAGTGGGCAACCAATGCTGCAGTGCCCAGGGAGCAGTTGGGGGTTCGGTGCCTTGCTCAAGGGTCTCACCTCAGTCGTGTTATTGAGGGTGGAGAGAGCACTGGTAATTCACTCCCCACACCGACAATCCCTGCTGGACCTGAGACTCAAACCCACGACCTTCGGGGTTACAAGTCTGACTCTCTATCCATTATATAATAAGGCATTTTATGTAAGGGATAATGTACATCCAGCCGGTTGTTATCTCAGATTATTACACGGCCCTGTGGAATACTTGATTCTGATTAGTCAGTCGCGACATTCCAAGGTATGCCATCCCTCGATAACAACCGGTAAAAGCTAATAACACAGGCTCATCCGGGTAACAGCAGTCGACGCTTTTCTCTTGCTTGAACA